GTTTTCGTCACGCTGTGATGACGTCAAATGCGCGCTTTCGTCGAGCGCGATTTTGTCCTCCACGATTTTGTGGTGGAACCTAATCATGGGGAAAATCAAGATATTGGTGTATTTTTTTTCCATTTTCTTTTTTATTAGGTGTGTTCAGATTGGGTAGTTAGATCAAATGAATATACAATTCTTTAGCAGCATGCTTTTACTGACAAAACATTTTCTTTCTTTATGGTTGCTACTTGATTAATGTAACTATTTGAATTTGGTGGTGGGAAATCAGATAAATAATCATTAAAGTATTACATTTATAATCGAAATGCTATCGTCATAAGCAGACTTTCTAGGAAATAAATTTCATTGAGCACTGGGATTGACTTCAGAATAAACAAATGATTTGGATTTTTCCGTATTATTTAGTATGACGTACTTCGGTTTTACATTAGCAGGAAGAGGAAAATGTGTTTTGCTTTCATTATGATATCTCATGGGGTAAAATATCCCCAAAGGATTCCTTTGAGATTGCAACATGGTGGAAAACGTGGACTGAATGAAATTTGCTTTTATCCTTATTTATTTAGGTGATTACTTTTTGTTTTGAGCTTAAAATAAGAATGTTGGGGTAGTTTTTTTAAAAAAAATCAGTTTCCACGATTAATATCAAGTAAGTTTCTGTAAAGATATCACAGATTATGCAACTCTGAGAAACATTCCATCTTCATTTGCTATATTTATACATTATAAATATATTAAAATGCCTGGTGTAATATTGCTCAATTAAGTAACATCTTAAGAAGAAATAATATATTTTCTAACTTGCTTCTTGGCATCATTTACTAGGGTTTTTATTTCCTTAATGGATAAGTGTGCATATGAATAACATAAATATTTCTTTTGTTATGACAATCGTATAGTCTCAACTCATTACATCAGCATTAGAGAGAGCAAACTAATTCTGTGCTGCATTATGAGAACTGATGTATTGTTGTATTATTTGTCCAGTACACAAGCTGTTAAACTGAAACTGCATTGAATTTATTCAAGTTTGTACTTGAATTGAAGCCTGAGAATTCAATGTTATAGCCAGAATGACAAAGTAGGAAGAAAATTGCATCAAAGTAAACAAGTGAAGCTACATGTCTTTTAAAATCCCTTTTTATATTTATTATTCAATTTCCTAAAGAAACAAACATTGAAGTACATCATGTTCTATATACCGTATTTTTCGGAGTATAAGACTTTTTTCCTCAAAGAGGCTGAAAATCTGAGTGCATCTTATACATCGAATACAGAATTTTTTCTCCATGAAGCCCTGCCCCCTTCACCAAAATGGTCGTGCATACCCTTATGGAGGCTTTCAGAGAGCTCCTGGGGACTGGGGAGGGCAGAAATGAGCCTTCCCCCCCCCCGCCAGCCCCCAGCAGCACTTTATAAGCCTCCATAAGGCTATACATGCAATTTTTTTAATGAAAAACGGGCCTGTTTTCCCAAAAAACTGGCTGTATTTTTCTCATTTTTGCCCACCCCCAGGAGCACTCTGCAAGCTCCCCCCCCCAGGGTATTTATGCCTCTCTTTTAAAAAAAGGGGGGGCTGTTTTCGCGAAAAACAGGTCGTTTGGGGGAGGTTTGCAGAGTGCAAAAACTTTCCCTCCCCTTTTGGAAAGCTCTTTAACTGATTGATGAGAATTACATTGATCAAGTGCTGTGCCAGCAGAAACAAAGTCTTAGGTGCTGCAGATTATCAGCGATTTCCTTCTCCAGCACATGGATAAATACACCTGGAAACATCTACCTACCTACCTACTCACTCTCTCTCTCTCTCTCTCCCTACCTACCAACCTCTCTCTCTCTCTTTCTCTCTCTATCCCTCTACCTACCAACCTACCTACTCCCTCTCTCCCTCTCCCTACCTATCTACTGTATTTTTCTATCTATCTCTATTTCTCTCTCTCTCTATCCCTTTACCTACCTACCTACCTACCTACCTACCTACCTACTCTCTTTCTCTCCCTACCTATCTACTGTATTTCTCTCGCTTTCTCTTCCTCTCTATCCCTCTACCTACCTACTTTTTTTAAAAAAAATTGCTCTTCAAAATCTTGGTGCATCTTATACTCCGAAAAATGCGGGTAACTGAACATCATTGAAAATAAAACCCATGAGGGAAAAATTATACAATGATTCTGAAAGGCTAGAAATAGGTTTTCATGATTTTAAATTCTACTATGCTATTGTAGCTGTTATAAATGTAATTTTATTCCAGGCACATTAAAATTTCAACCAGTCAAACTCAACTGGCAGCTTTTTATACAGAGTGATTTGCCGTTTTTTTCTGGGTTGTTTTACTACTTTCCTCATCTAGCCAAAATCTATCTGAATTTTAAACTATCACATATATTCATAGATAAACTGATCCTCAAATTTTTAATCCAAGTACCATGAAAAAGCTCACAGCTGCAGGTAAGCTAACCATCAAAATAATTGTATGTTTTAATTTTCACAGTTGGCTTACCTATGGATAATCAACAGATTATATATTTTTCATGGTATTTTGGTCACTTTATCCAGAAATGGGCTTGTTCACGAGTATATATGGGAAACATGACTACTTTATATACCATACTTATGGATAAAGTGTAAGTAGGCCTCAACTTATGACCACTATTAAGCCCAAAATTTCTGTTGTTAAGCGAGACATTTGTTACGTGAGTTTTACCCCATTTTACAATTCTTTTTGCTACTGTTGTTAAATGAATCACTGAAGTTGTTCAGTTAGTAACAAGGTTGTTAAGTGAATCTGGCTTCTCCATTGACTTTGCTTGTCAGAAGTTCACAAAAGATGATCACATGACCCCCGGACACTGCAACTGTCATAAGACCAGTTGCCAAGCATCTGAATTTTGATCGGATGCTACAACAGTCATAAGTATCTTTTTTTCAGTGCTGTTGTAATTTCAGACAGTCACTGAATGAACTTTTGTAAGTTGAGGACTACTTGTATATACTCTCAAATAAGCCTATCAGTGAATAATCTCAACCATTTTTTTTGGGGGGGGGGGAAGCTATTTTAGCAGCTAAAATTATTAGCTTATTTGAAAATAGGTATAATATGTTCTCACAGTACTCAAGAAAATGTAGATAACCTTCAGGATGATATGAAAGTATGTGTGTGTTTGAAATTAAAAGGATAGTAATTAAAATTAAATGAAAGGGTTTCATGATAGCTAAGACTTTTTTAATTGTAAAAGTCCTTATAATTGCTGAAGTCACACAAATTTCAAACCAATAGTCTCTAAAACTAACATTTCTTTAGCCTGATGAAATTAGTTTAAAAGTTGGCAGAGTATTAATCTGGGCAGAGCCTGGCAGACTATATTTAAGTTCATGTAAAATGTAAAAATTTATTTAGGCAA